GGGGGGGTGTGCTCTCTGTGGGAGGGTGTCCCCCCCGGCGTGGGGGAGAGAGGCCCTTTTTGGGGGGGTTGCGTGCTCTCTGTGGGAGGATGTGTCATCCCCCCACCCCCCTGGCATGGGGGGTAGCCCGGGTTTCGGTCTCCCCCAGGGTGTGTGCAGGGGGGAAGCCCTGCTTTAGGTAAGGGTGACACCCCCCCCAGATGGAGGTAAGTCCCTATCTGTGGGGCTGGGTGCCCTCTGAGGGAGGGTGTCTTCCGTGGGGTGCAGGGGAACCCCGGGTTTGGGGGGTGTAGGGGGGTGTCAGGAGAGGGGGGGCAAGTCCTGAGGACTCCTTTGGAAGGGCAGGCTGGCTCCTAGGCAGGTTTCTGCAGGGCCAGCCCTCAGCCAGGGTCTGTTCCCCTGCAGCCCAGGCTGAACTTCACCACCCACCACCGACGACGCCAACAACAACATCGGTTTTGAAGTCACGGCCCGGCGGCAGGTCCTAAACCCCCCCAAAAACCTGCTAACGGGGATCGTTCCGTGGTAGGGTTCAGTCAGCTGTAGGCGGATTCACTGACACTCACAAGGTGTGTTGTGACCCTTATGAGCCTTGTTTGGAAGGACGCTTATTTTTTAGCAATTTAGTAGTGTTTTATAGCCCATCCCCAAATTGGGTATTATCTGAATCTTATTTCAGCTTCAGAGTAAACTGTTTATTGCTTGCGTTAGCAAAATAGACAATGTGCACAGAACAGAGAGAAAATAAGACGTCTTCCTCCTTCTCACGTGTCTTGGTAGGATGAAGAGAGAGCTCCTTGGGAGGGTCCTGGAGTTACATAGTCCTAACAAAGCAGAAGTGGGAGAGAAAAACATGAATTCCTGTGGTACTGCACTTAACCCATTTTCATTTGATTCCTATAGGAAATGAGGCATAAGTTATTGCCTTCTCTACCCACCAGCCCCCTATGATATCTTGCAAATCCATTTTGATAGCAAGACGTGTTTCAAAGTTAGTATCTAATAGTAAGTACCTACAAGTTTGGAGAAAAACCAGCAACTGGTTAGAGGAGAGAGATACAAATAAGTGTTTCTCTGCAGGAATGGCTGCAGTATGAGCTCAACAGTTATTTGTTTTCTCTGGCCTGCTGGCTGGCCACTCAGCTCACATTGTCTGACCAAGCTGCACGGAATTGTCTGTAGCACAGAGCTGCCTCTTATTTCCAACCTACATTTATTCACGGCCAGTTCATCCCTTTTTGTTCTTGTGCCAACTTTTGCCATTAGCATAAACAGCTCTTTTCTCGCTCTGTTTTTTTAATAGATGGTGACTTTGTCTCTCTCAGCCTTCATTTTACTCAACTAAGCATAGGATGGGCTTGCCATTCCTTTGAGCCGCCCGGGGCCCTCCCCTGCACCTTTTCCATCCCAGTTTCTTGTGTTTCTCTCTGAATACCTTTCATAGCAGTGTACAATGCACAGAAAAAAATATTTCCTGTAAGTGGTCTGATGAACACCTCCTTTTCTTATTAAAAAGAGGGGAAAAGGATTTACTAACCTCCGTTCTCTAGACAGTGATTTTTCTGAAATTTGTCTTCCCCATCTTTGTTGTATCAGTGATCTGAAGATACTTTTGCAGAACCAAAACAAACTCTGGCCAGAGCTCTTAACTCTCCAGTCAAATCCAGCTGAGCTGTGCCATCTAAGCTCTCAGTGGTTATCTAAAGAAATCCTAAATTCATGGACTGAGCACTGCAGCAAGTACATTTGGGGACAAGGGCTGCAAAAGGATCTGTAGGGATGCTTGTAACAACAGGAATAGGTAGAACAGCCACTCACGTTGGTCTGCAGAGATCAGTCAACATCAGCCATGCCAGAAACTCCGGGTTCAAAACATCCTTCAAACCTTCTGAACTTTCCAGAGAAGTAAAACTGCAAGAAATGTGCCATGCCATAAAGACAGAGGAGAGGGCACAATCCAGATGCAGTGTATAATAGCCTCGTATCCCAATCCCCTCAAGTTCACAGGGGAGTTTTATTTTCCTTCTAATATCTTTGACTTGGATAAACCCACAAAAAAAGCTTTAACCTCTTTTTGACATGGTGAGCTCCCTGCACACAACAGCGCCTTGATCTTGGCATGTTTGAGCTGCCCAGCAGTGAACATGTCTGTCAGCCTTGGGGGGCAAGAAGGAACGGTCCCGTGACCCCCCTGCACCCCACCTCCTCTTAGACCCAGCAGGCATCAAAACAAAGGCAGAGCGTGGGTGAAACAGCATCTACGCTCCAAACTCACAAAGGAAAGTCTTTGTTTCCAAGAAGGACTTTCCCCTGCAAGTCGCATTTTTTATTTGCAATTAAGGCGATTAAGGGAGACACTAGAAAACAATTTTTTTTAAAAATGAAGTTAATCAAGCTGATTAATCTCTAGCATCAAAGGTTTCCCTTCCCCCCTCCACCCCCGCCCCCAGAACAGGTTAGACAAACATCTGTCAGGAACAGTTTAGGGTGCATTGATCCTGCTTTGGAGCAGAGGTCAGACTAACTGACCTCTTGAGATCCCTCAAAGCCCTCGTTTCTTTGATTTTGTATTTTCAGTATGACTAGCAATTCTCGGCGTCTGATTTTCCGAGTGCTTGGCCTGAGACACCTCTGTGAACCATAACTGTGCTCATTTCTCCCACCACGGGTCATCCCCCACACCCTGGTTTCTAAAGCAGTTTTCATGCAAAGTCTGTAAAAGACAACAAATGCCCCCAGATTCTTGTTCTGGGTGACTGTCCCATGACTCCCTGTAGTTAGAAATTCCATTTTTTTGCCAGAAGACACTAGGATTGTGCCTGAGGGATGTGGGCTGTGTGCGGTAAGTGCTTTTTTTCCTTCTTGCCACCATTTTAGGACTAAGCAGTAGCAACCTGTTAGGTTTTGTAAAATCCCCTTCATGTTAAAGAAAGAAAATGTATCCTTCATTCATTTTTTGGTGGGTTTTTTTTGTTGTTTTTTTTTTAATATAGAAAGTGCCCGAGAACAGATTTTTCTTTGGACTCATGCGTCTAATTTGCTTTTTGAACATTTGTGACATAAGCTAAGATTGGGGGAGGTGAAACAGGCTATTGACAGGCTGTGGATGTGCTGACACAGCACAAAGCTGCGCAGTGCTGAGATACACAAGTGTGCTCTCAGCCAGATGGCTTGGGAAACGAAGGCATGAGCTGCAGCAACAGAGAGCTCCATATGGACTCGGTTACCTTGCCCAGAGGTACCTGTTCTGGGCGAGCTCCTATTGCCATCATTACCGTGATCATGACAATTTTAAGATGATTTCATCTTAAAAAAAAAAAAAAAAAAAAAAAATCTGTGCCCTTTACTAGGGACACTCAGATCAGAAACAAACTGGGAAATTCCTCCTGGGTCAGGCAGGCATCTCTCCTGCATGGTTTCACGTTTAGATGACAGGCTTTTCATAATAAGAGCTTGTAGCAGTGATACAAGGAAAGAACAGGTTTGTTTCTTTTTTTAAAAATGAACCGGTCAACAGGCTGAGAGTGTGAATGAATGGGATTTTTTTCTTTCCCCCTCCGTGTGGGTTGATTGGATCAAATCAAAATGTTTTGCAGAATTGTATCAATTTAATCTCATTTTCGCTGGAGAGTTTTCTTTTGAGAGGGCTTTGTTTTGATTAGGTCAAAGCATTTTGACTTCTCCGTTATGGTCATGGTGGGATGTTAGAGGAACGGATGCACTTCAGCCCTGTCAAAAGCCCGTGCTTTGACCTTATCAAAGCGCTGGGTTTTGATGAGGCTGTGCTGACATTTGCAAAACCAAAAAAGACCCCAATCATCTATATTTTTGAAATTTGTATTTCGTGAGAAATTTCAAAATGAGAGAGGCTTTTTTGTCTTTGTTCTTTTCCTCGCTCACGAGACAGAATTGCAAAATGTGGAATTTCCTTTTGAAATGAAAGTCCTCTTGTTTTCCTATGTGAAGCCGTTACCATAGATTCCTGCCCCCAAATACTCCTTTGAAAGTTAAACACTTGGGGACTTCATCCCTCCCTGCCACCAGGCTTTCTATTTTCCCAGCTCACCTCTGCTTTTTCTTGGCTTTTAGAAGCCAGGTGAAGAAGTCTTTGGCTTCCTGGGTGCCCAGGTCCAATCTTTGGCCATTCGCAGCCGATACTTGGGGCTCAGCTTCCCTCTTGTATGGCTCAATGATGTTGCTGGAAAGGCGAAATGGGAAGATACCAGCCCGAGATGCCACAAGAGGGTGCCAAAATGCTGCTTTTCCACAAACCCCAGCTCCCTCCCACTCCATCTACCAGCAGCCAGAGAAGAAGGCGGTCTTGGACAGGGAGAGGGATAGTTGTGCTGTGTGCCGACAGACCAGAAACATTTCTAGGACTTAGAAAAATAAAAGAAAAAAAGAAAACCAACTCCCTAGAGAATCGCTGCTGCAGTCCAAGAAAAATAACCTCGGCTCTGCATTCTTCTGTAGCCATCAGTTGGCTGACGACAGCTGTAAGTTTGGATCGTAGGAGCATTGAAAGTCTACATACTTACTCGCTTTTCTTCTCCCGTCTGGCTAGCAACCATTCCACAAAGTTCTTCTTCAGCATGTTATCCATCGTGCGGCTGTAATCGCTTGCCAGGGTGGCCTCAGAGTAGCGTCTTTGCACTGGTCTGGCACTGGGAGTCCTTATACTTAGGCTGGGGTAAGAGCACAGAGACAGAGCGAGTGCTGCACAGACCAGGAGCAGCACACGCCGTGCAGATTTTTGCTTGGGTTGCACGCGGTGGCCCATGCGGTCCCTACAGTCAGCAAGGGTTTTGTGGTCACTTTTAACATCTCTTGGTACAGGTGACCATTCCTGCACTGTAAAGTGAGGAGATGGCCACAGAAGGGGCTAGCAGGCTCCTCATCCGTTTTGCTGACTACTAGTACAATTCCGATTTGAGAACTTGGGAGGAGGTGAGCTCAGGATCTTTGCTGATCGTCTGGAGTCATGTCGTTTTCCCTGCCGTAGCCTGATTCACGTGGACTTTGGCTCCCAGCTAAGGCACCGAGTGTGCTCAGGCTCCCTCCTCCAGCGAGCTGCACATCTAGGGCCAAGGGAACCTTCTCCTGTGTCCTCGAGAGACTCAGGGGTGGACGGCAGGAGACAAGGGCTGACCTGGAGCCCAGTGCTGATCTGACAGCGTAGACATAGTTGGTGGCTGCCTAAGTTAGCAAAGGATTTCAAGGCTGAACCTTTTTTAGTACTACTGTCTGGGATTGCAGCAACTCCTACTGCTCTAATAAGGGTTCTTTTGGGTCTTCTCGGGTGGTAGTTGGAAATTTTGTAGCAGGAGTCAGGGAAAGAGAGGGAAAGTCCTTATTATATACCTGCTTGATGTAACTGGTCATATTTTCAGAAGCTTCCAAATACCGGATGCCCCCTAGCCTCATTCGTGTGAGATGATTACATCTCGTTTCTAGTTCTCAGCCAACCTTTTTCTCTTCCTGGTTGACTTCCAGCTTGTTCCTCCTAACCCAGAGCCATGAAGTTTGTAGGGAAAACTTGGGAGTTCCTGGCTCTGGCTCAAAGGCTCAGGGCTTTAGTTTGATCTCTCTCTTATCATTTGCTCATCTCTGTACGCCTGGGTGTCTCTATTATCTGAGATCTACCTCAGGACTCGTGTTCTCACCTACTTACCGAGATGCCAATGGAAAAAGTCCATTTGCCTCCAGTGGGGAGCTGGAAAAGGCTTAAAATACACCGTGAGCTTTCCAAAACACTTACCCTGAGACGTTTTCTTCCATCAAAACAAAGCCCAGAGAAGCGAGGAGCAGAGAGAGAACTTTGAAAGACATCATTTTCTTGGCTTGTTTCTCTGTTTGAGAGCAGAGGGCAATCCAGATGTCCGTCCCCTATAACACATGGGACACATAAGTGACAGGACAGCGAACCCAGCGAGATGTGCACTGGTTGGGCACGTGCCTGTGCTTGTAAACGTGTTTCTTCAGTCCTTGTGCTTCGAGCAGCCTTCTCCATCCTACAAAGCCCTCTTCTGCTGTTCCCAGTTAAATTACTTTTTCAATGCCAATGCTCTTTCCCACCGTGGTGTCTTTTAATGTTCGTTCCCTATACTTTTATTGTAACCATCAAATTCATTGTGGGTTGCGCATTCCCGGAGGCAAGGGCTTTGTCTTCCTCCATGTTTACAAGCTGACCCTGTGGGTACCTCATTGTGCTTTAAGGGTCGATTCAATCTTGAGGATGTGAACGGCAACGTACGTTGGATCAGGCAATTCAGTAGCAATGGCATCCTGCTTATCCCACACTGCGGTTCTGCAGGGTTCAGGAGCCTGATCTAATTTCTGGGAGATTTTCAGTTGGGATGGATAATGCCTTATGTAGGGACTGGAGCCAGAGTCAGTGAATATCAGTTATGAAAAATATCCCATGGACAGTGACAGGATCGGATTCCAAGATTTATTACTTTCAAGCTGTTCCTAGTGCTCACGTCCACAGTTCAGCTCAATAGCCCTTGGACATTTGAGCTCTTTTAATTACTATTCCAGCTCTGCAAACTCCGTACAAAAATGGTTTTGATCGTGGCTCAGAGATATATTTTGTTGTCCCTCATCTCACTCTTTGTTATAGCTATTTCTGGAAACTGCATTACAATGGAGAGCTGCTGTTAACAAGAATAACACAGTAAGAAAAGGTCTAGATCAGGACTCAGGTATCACATCCTTCAAAAATTTATTTATACATTGATAGAACTTTAGTCCTCCAAGTAGTTACTTGTACTCTTACAACGGCCCAATTATTGTTTTAGAGAGAGCAAGAATTTGCAAGTTTGGATGTTGTTTGTAATTGTGGTGGTTTTTTATTTCTGGAAAATTGTCACATCTTTTACAAATGTTTTCAGCCCTTCCTATTAAGTGAGGAAAAAATACTAAATGTGTTACATTACCTCTGATACATCAAGTTCTGAGGAATGCTCTTAAAAGCAAAGGTGTAATATTCTGAACACTGGCAAAATCCCTAAAATACTTAAACCGAAAGCAATAAAAGACAAATAGTTACAGAGCGTTAACAGCAGAAGTAAATTCCATAATACAAAATGCTGAAGAGTATTTTAAAGAACAGAAAAAAAAGTCATGATTAAACAACTGAAGTTTTCCCTCTTATTTACTTTTCATTTCATATATTGGTGATATAACTGTGGGTACGATGATGGATCTGAAAACAGCTAAGTTGTGCAAAAATATTGTTCTGCTTAGGGTAATTCTTTGCGATGCTAGGAGAGGAAAGGCATTGTAGCCTTAATTTTAAGAAAGGGCAGTACTCCTTCTCTGCAGAATTTACCCAAACAGGGAAGAAAAGCAGTCCACATTTTCAGAGACTGTTGAAAAAACATTTTGAATTAATACAAGACCCCTTTGCCTGTGTGACACTGAACTGGAGTAGTCGCACCTGGCACGGAGTTTGCTGTGATGCCTACATTGTTTTGATCCTATGATTTGACTTCTTCACAAAAGGAGAAGCAACTGGTAAGATCTTTGCAACATGAAGGTCTTCCAGTCCCCTGTGCAATACTGTCTGCTTTGGAAAAAGCATTAGAAGGATAATATAGGGTTTTATCCCTAGCTGGGAGGTCCCAAAAGCAACTAAGAACCAATTTCTCCTCATTTCCCTGTGTAGGTGCAGATCCCACCCTGATATTTGCCAAGTACCGAATCCTCCTCTGAAACAACGGTCTTTCCCTTCACAACCCAAGACGTACGCTGCCGCAGGTCTTTTCTGCCAAAGCTACCGAGAAAACGGCCGGTTTTGTACCACTTTGGGAAAAACTCAGCCAAAGGTCCAGGCTGTTCCTGCTCTGCTGCAGCTACTGCCTGGCACTCTCAAACACTGTTCAGTCCCACTGTTATCTTAGGGGGGGAAAAAAGAGTAAAAAAAGAGACTGACATAGAGCTTCTTACCTTTCTCCTTCTCTGAAACTGCCCAGAGGATTTCAGCTAGTTCTGGTGCTGAGGAGAGACCCTTCAGGGCTTTTATATACGTTAGCTGTGCAGAACCAAACCCACTTCCATGAGGTAAACAGGAAATCAAGCACCTAATCGAAGCAATTCAAACCCACTTAGAGCTGCTTCATTAGGTCCATTGACCTACAGAGCAGGAAAAAAACCTTTTAAAATATGTTTACATTAATGGCAATTAAACATTACTGTATCACAAAATCAAGAATGAACATGGATTGTGGGCATAATACATACGGCATTGGTCTAAAGCTTAATTCCACGTATCCCACGGTAAAAACCTCCTTAATTTCCATCTTTTCTTTTGCCAAGTGTAAGTGCTATCTTAGAGAGATCCACTCTACTCCTTCTGTTTCTTACAGGAGGAATAACTTTGCTAAAATCAATAGCTCCCATCACTGTTGTTTTCATCACCATCGAGTCTGAGCATCCCAACTGTGGTCTGCAACCCCCTTGCGCAAACTCCAAATACCAAAACCAGCACCTGTCCCCCAAAACATGCGCTCTAAGAGGAGAAAAGTTGGGATGGAGAGTGGCAGGTGGGAAACTAGTAGGAAATGGTGAGGCAGCATTGGTTAATGAGGGTGTGTTGGCACAGCAGCCACCTATGTAGGGTGAGGGGTAGCAGCTGGACCTGAGCACCCATTTGGGCTTTTTCTGTCCTGAGTGATGGAGTGTTTCCCTGTGGCTCTGCAGCTGCTGGGGACGTGGGTCAGTGAGGCCACCACCTCGCCCTGCCCTTGCACAGCTGGATCCAGGAGAGCAGATGTTCTGCAGATGTTAATTGTGCCATCAGAGTACAAGGGGTAAAGCCACTTCTCATCAGCTCTGCTGTGACTGCGTGCCCGGTAAGATATTCATTCTCGCTGGTGGCTGACCTGCCCCGCTTCCCCTGAGCCTCTCTGGGAGAACTGGACTCATTACATTTTAACATGTAAATCCTGTTTAGGGGCTGCTACTAGGCGTGTACCTGCTGCTCTAGGATCCCCGTCACACCCAGCTTCAATCTGTTGAAGAAGCAGAGCAGGATTGCGTTTGTGCTAGCCTAACCCACAAGCTGAGCTCAGCTCACATCGTTACCAAAGCGAAGCCGTGCCCGTGGCTGACTGTGCTGGCTTGCAGAGCGTAGTCCCGTCCGTGACTCGGTTCCCCCGAGCAGCCTGAACTTTTGCAGAAGGTTATCCAAGTTACAACCTTCCCCTCAGGTCTGCCAGCCTTTTTTTTTGGTTTGTTTTTTGTTTTGTGGAGTTTAGCTGAGCTGCTCGGAGCAGTAACCCTGCACGCCTGGATGTAGGTGGGATGTGTGTGTCTGCGTGTATTCTCCCAGGTTTGTGCTGGCTCAGCTACACCAGGGATTTGTGTGGGAACGAAGTAGGATTTCTGGTTGACAGAGCTGAGGAAGAAGCAGCCTTTAGTGGAATTGCAGTAATAATGGCAAAATTGAAGTGTCGGTGGTTTCGGCGTGGGAGAGGGTTTCGCTGTGCTGGCACAGTGCCCCCAGTGTATCTTGTCCCAAACACGTGCAGAAATCCAGCGTGATGAGGTACGTGTCTCCGCGTATAGGCTATCCATTTGGCAGTTCCTTTCGAAAAAGTGGGTTTTCTGCTCTTCTGAGGAGTGCTGCTGGGATACGCTGTCAGATACAGGCTGGTTCCAACCGCTACCTGTATTCCTGCACCAGGAGACCACAGAGCGCAGAATGAACTGCATCTCGCTTACCCCGGCGCTGGCAGAAATGAGCTCTTGCTGCTCTGTAGTTGTACAACTCCCTGGCACAACCAGCCTCTCCAGCAAAAAGTGTTGCGTCTATATTGCATTAAGGTAAAGGCTCAGGAGGACGTTGTTAGGGTAGATTAAGAGTTCGGTGCTATTAAGGAGTAATTACTACTGTCACAGGAACTACTTAACACGTGGCTTAGTCCTTTAGCTAGCAGCACACAAGCATGCTAGGGTCTCCAAAAGCTTTTCACCCATGCAGGAGCATCGTGCCTGCTGTAATAAATGGTGCACTATAATAGTTACAAGTAACCAATTTACACTCCTAGCACAGTTGCTAATCAATAAAATGGAATAGTTTATCCTGGTGTCTTTATTATATGTATTCTGGGTACTTCACTCCCAGCCAACTCAGATATCTTGTTTCTCCAAATTGCAACCTATTTGTTTTCCTCTCATTAAGTGCCTCTGTAGGATATAAAGTTAATAGAGTGAAATAAATATCCAGCAACATTAAATGTTGACCCAGGGTTCGCAGTTCTGGTTATTTCAGGGCATCTGCTCATGCTGCAGCCTGGACAGCAGCATCACTCTAAAATTTCTCGCAATCTTTTGAACGAAAAACCCCCAGATATGCAGAAGTTATTTCCAAGGACAGGTGGGCACTGTCTGCATTTCATTCTGTCTGTGTGATATCCATGCCTAAAATGCTGAACCTCTGTGTGCCAGTTCAGGTCTGGGAAGTGCAGAGGCAAGGAGTGAAGTGCTGACCTAGAGAAGGACCAAGTGCCTGCATCTGCTTTCGTGAGGGTAACAGGGGGTCTAACTGATGATGCACACCTTGCTCTTCTTTAGCTTCAGCTACCCTTGTAGTGTTATCTGTGGTCTGCTGCCTTTCTGCTGATAAAACAAGTCATTTCACAAGCTTCAGCTGGGTCCCAGCTTGGGACAGAGGACTCTTTTAGCTTAGGTTTCACCCAGCCGTGGCATTTGTCTCCCTGCAAATTAAACAGGAGAGCTGGGGCTGCCCTGGTTCATCCACACAGCGCTTAGTGAGTGAGCTCTGCTCTTCTCCGCAGCAGACCTGACTCGAGGAGTTGGTGTTT